CGCGAGCCAGCAGCTCCATAAACACATCCTGAAGGACACTGATTACCTTGATTTTTTTATAGCACTGGAAATCTTACTGGATTTGCTCAATGGTATTATATCTCGCTCGCCACTTAGAATGTAAGCTCTGTGAGACCAGAGAGCCTCAAATGTCTGTTCACCCTTGAATTGCATCCATATCTTCTTACTGGCCAGTAAAACCAACCTTTGCAAATAAATATAACAGAAATTATGGAACAGTAGAAAATCCGACATGCTGAGTCCATCTTGATCCAGCCTCACAGGTTGGCTGTCTTTGTCATTCCCGGGGCTGAGCAGGCTTACCTTTCGGGAAAATTTAGTGTATAGTTTTTTGTTTGTTTCATTGTTGTTTGTTTTTGAGGATGGAGTCTCGCTCAATGTTGCCCAGGCTGTGAGTAGCAGTGGACAAATCTTGGCTCACTGCAAACCTCCCACTCCTGGATTCAAGGCAGTTCTCCTGCCTCAGCATCCGGAGTAGCTGGGATACAGGAGGAGCACCGCCACATGCCCACTAATTTTTTGGTTATTTTTTAGTAGAGACAGGGGTTGAAGCCATGTTGGTCAGGCTGGTTGTTTGGAACTCCTGACCTCAGGGCTAGAGTCCACCTGCCTAAGACCTCAAAGTGCTGGGATTACAGGACATGAGGCCACAGGCCACAGCCTTGTTTAGTTTAATGGATATAGCCCCTCCCAAGAAACTAAAACTATTTTTATAAAATGAGTGAAGGCCACAAAGTTAGGCATGAGAGAGGGCCTGGAGTTTAAATAATTACCATTTTTTTCTGAGGGTCGTAAGATTTGCAACTTCCCAATTACTCTTGAAGGATACATCACTATTTTTACGCCTCCCAAAGTGCTGGGATTACAGGTGTGAACCACCATGCCTGATTGAGGAAAAGTCTTTCTGATGAGACTGCCAGAGGCGTTTGAACCTGGGCAACTCCATTTTGAGTAGGGGCTGGATAAAATAAGGCTGAGACCTACTGGGCTACATTTCCAGATGGTTAGGTATTCTAAGTCACAGTATGAGACAAGAGGTCAGCACAAGATGCAGGTCATAAAGACCTTGCTGATAAAACAGATTGCAGCAAAGAAGTCAGCTAAAACCCACCAAAACCAAGATGGCCATGAGAGTGACCTCTGGTCATCCTCACTGCTACATTCCCACCAGTAGCATGCCAGTTTACATGTCAGGAAGTTACTCTATATGTCAGGAAGTTACTCTATATGGTCTAAAAGGGAAGGCATGGATAATCCACACCTTGTTTAGCATATCATCAAGAAATAACCATAAAAATGGGCAATCAGCAGCCCTCGGGGGTGCTCTGTCTGTGGAATAACCATTGTTTTATTCCTTTACATTCTTAATAAACTTGTTTTCACTTTACTCTATGGACTCACCCTGAATCCTGTCTTGCATGAGATCCAAGAATATTCTCTTGGGGTCTGGATCCGGACCCCTTTCCAGTAATGAGAGAACATTTTAGCTGATGTTATATGTTGAGGAGCTAGCTGTGAGAAGATAAGGAGGTGGGAGTGAGGAACATTGAGAAGAAGAAATGAAAAGTGGGAGGCTCTGAGAATGTAGCTGTACCCCAGATGGAAAAGTACTATACCACTATTATATTGTACTTTGCTTCTGTGTCAGCTTTCTCTATCATCCAGTGGGCTGTACAAATTATCTCAAAATCTTTAACATCTATTATATAGTAGACATTCAGTAAATGTATTTAACAAAGGGATGGATTTAGTAATCATTTAATTAACCTTTCATGTACCAGATACTTCAGGGATACAAAAATGACCAGGTGAAGGGCTGTGCCCTCAGTGAACTCAAAGTTGTGGGAAGCAGAGTTGCGAGCAATTACTAATTACTAATAAAAGGTGGTCAATGCTATTGGTACTACTACAGCATTGGAAGGATGATATCTCACTGTATTTGAGAGATATGAGGAAACTGCATAGAAGTGGCAAAGTTAGAGGTGAGTCTTGAAATGTACCTAAATTAGTTGAGGGGTGTTAAAGAAAAAATTATTCAATGATCTTGTTAAGGCATGGACAGGCAGACTGCATTCAAGACCACTGCAATAGATATAGGAATTACTGCAACTGGGTCTTGTAGTTGGGTGAGAGATTGGGTTCAACTCCGAATATAGCATAAGCAAGTAGCAATTTATAGCAAAGAGCAGGGTGGGGGGTCAGTGGATGAAAAATTACTAAGAGGAAATATCAGAGGTAAAGAGAATTCTGGTTAAACTCATCTCAAAGGATTCTTGCTGAAGACAGCCAGGGTAATCAGACTTCACCTGGGGGTGAAAAGCAAAAGCAAAGGATGAGGACCCTAGTCAGATATCTAGGATGGGGGATTCTTGCCAAACCGACTTAGCATGGTTCTTTGCTAAAACTGAATTTTACAAGAAAGTACACAGACAGACCTAGGACATAGCTGGTTTTCAAAAACCCCAAGAAATTTAGAAGTAGAGACAATAAGTTAAAACCAGGAGTATATGCAGAAAGAGTCATAGGCCAGGAAGCATATTCAGGAAGTGTCTGTGGATCACATTGAGGGACTAAGTGGCTAAGCTGGCTGGACTTCCTGGTTCAATAGGAACTTCCCTACAGGACTTTCCCCTAAGCCAAAATCAGTCATAGCTGCAAGCTAAGGGATTGAAACTTCAATCAATCAAAGGGGACTTTCCACTAAGCCAAAGTGAGTCCCAGCTGCAAATTAAGGGATTGAAACTTCAACCAATCATATAGGGAGTTTAAGCTCTAGCTGCAGCCTGATGTTTTTAACCAACCAGGCCCGCCAACCTAAGGGAGGAGACCACCCCTCATATTGTCTTATGCCCAATTTCTGCCTCCAAGGAAAGAAGAATTAAAAACTAAAAGGCAGAAATGAAATCCACAGGCAGACAGCCCAGCACCGTGCCCTGGGCCTGGCAGTTAAAGATCGACCCCTGACCTAACAGGTTATGTTATCTATAGATTCCAGACATTGTATGGAAAAGCAGTGTGAAAATCCCTGTCCTATTATTTTCCATTCTGATTACCAGTGCATGCAGCTCCCAGTCATGTACCCACTGCTTGCTCAATCTATCACAACCCTCTCACGTGGACCCTCTTAGAGTTGTAAGCCCTTAAAAGGGACAGGAATTGCTCACTCTGGGAGCTCGGTTTTTGGAGACGTGAGTCCGCCAATGCTCCCAGCTGAACAAAGCCCTTTCCTTCCACAACTCGGTGTCTGAGTGGTTCTTGTCTGCAGCTCCTCCTGCTACAAACCCACAAGCGGATAGAAAATAAGCTAATCCTACAGGACAGAAAAAGGTAAAGGGGAGGAGTCATAAGGGATATAAACCTAAGACACCCAAGTCAGAAACAGCAATCCTTCGGGGTCCCCTTCCACCACGTGGAAGCTTTACTTTCACTTTCCCTTAACTTTTGCTTTGGCTTTAACAAATCTTGCCATGGCATACTCTTTGGGTCCACGCATTTCTCTGGTAAAGCTGTAACACTCGCAGCTGCGGACCACAGCTTCATTCCTTGAAGCCCGTGAGACCATGAACCCTTCGATCAAGAAAAATCTTTGATCGGAAGACTTCTCATCTCAACATTAAAGGACAAAGAAGCCAACTCTAAGGCATGCCATTAGCTTTAATAATGTGAGTATAATAAATAATAATGATCATAATAGATTGAAACATCAGATCTGTAAAAAATGCATGCATTCATAATGATATCAAACAAATAAAAACTTTGTGGTTAACTCTAGAGTTTGGTAGGGCACCAACTCATGTCTCTGAAATTTCATAATTAAAGAGAACGAATTCAGCATTTACCCAGTCTTTCCTCTATGGGGTTATCCTGGTTATCTCAGGATAACCAATGAGTTGGTATGAAAAAGTTCCTTTTATAGAAGAACATCTGGTAATAAATAGAGAATTATTGAAAGTATTAGAAATTCACTGCTCTAGGATAAGAGACATACCAAAATGCAACATGTGGACTTTTTTTTTTTTTTTGGATCTTGACTAGAACAAACCAACTATAAAAGACAATTTGGACTCAGACAGGAAAATTGGAATATTTATAGTACTAAGGAATTATTGTTAATTTTGTTAGATATGATAGCGGTAGTTAAATTTTAAAAATCTGTATCAGTTTGAGATGCAGACTAATTTAAGGGTAAAATAATATTATGTCTAGGATTTCTTTTAAAAAGAGGGGAAAGAAACTGAAACTTCATTGGCAAAATGTTGCTAAATGTTGATTCTGAGGGATGGATTACTTGAGGGTTTGTTATTAAAAGTAGAATCACTTATGTTAATGTTTAAAATTTTCCATTATAAATACTTTTTAAAAGCAGAGCCAGTGCTTACCCCACATCATCTTCTCTTATCTAATGCCCAGGACTCAGAAAGGGTCAGCAGTCTCAGATCAACAGTTACTGATTACCTAACCCACCCTAAACACTGATGCTCACGAGTGTGGGGCAAAGTTCACAGCGTGCTAAGGAGCAACATTTAGGAACCTGACTGAATTCCGCAGCTCTCGGGACAAGTCCCCTGGAAAAGGGCTGGGGAAGCGGGGCGGGGAAGAACCCAATTATTCTAGAAGGTTCTGAGATCTCTCAGGGATTTCCGAGAGGCTACGAGGTGTAACTGGCAAATCAATGACTTAAGAGTAGCTTTCTCCCAGCCTCCCCACTGTCTCTGGAGTGTAGAGGAAAGCAAGCCTTTTCCTCCTTCACCCTGCCTCTACCCTCTCGTCTCATCTTCCCCTCCACTCCCCTCCCGACTCTTGGCTGGCCACTCCTGCTTTCACTTTTCTCCACTCCTCTTCGGCCCCGCCCCGCGGCCTCCTCCCTCCTCCTGGCCCCGCCCCTTATCCCCTAGCGCCGGCGGCGGTTACCATAGCGACGTGCACGCAGCAGCCAAGCCAGACCAGCTGGTCCCCTGCTGGCCCGAGGAAAGAGGCGGTACCATGAGCCACGCAGTAACCATCCAGGAGCCCCAGGCCCAGCCTCAGGTGTCTCAAACTCGGTACCGGGAGAGGTCGCGGGCTGGGAGCCACATCTCCTCCAATCGAGCGTATGATTTTCTGTACGGTAAGGACAGTCGCAGACCTTTCTCCGCGTCCGTCCACTTCTGGGCCAGGTGGGCTCCCAGATGGTGGGACCTGGCCAGGGGCATGGCGAACGAAAGACGACCCTCTGGACTGACCTCTTGCCCGCGGTTGTCCCTGGTTGGGTGGGGGCAGCTCCGAGCCCTCCAGGTGCCCGCACTCAGGGTGGGATCGGGGGTTCGCGTGCATCGAAAGGCGCGGGTGCGCTCGGCTTCAAGGGGCGATCTTCCTGATACCTGTTCCGGGCATTTTGGTACCCAGAAAAGTATGCAACGATTTGTAGACTCGGAGATTCACTCAATGTTCCTGCATAAAATGCCCTACGAAAATAATCTTTTGTCTCCTACTCTCTGGGCAAATACAAGTTGGGCGGAAAAAAGTGCCAGTTTATCTCATGCTTGCTTTTAGGTTTTGTTTTTGTTTTTGTTTTCAACTTCTGCGTCAAAGCATTGTTTATAAACTAGGTCCGCTGGCTCCTCTTGGGCCAATAAAGGCCCAGTTTATTTTAACGGCTTGCTTGTGCGTTTTGTGTTTTCTCTCTCTCCATGCTCCTTGAGTTCCTTAGGTTCCTGTTCTGTATATTTTTGTAGCCTTGTGAGCACCTATTCTAGTGCTGATACATGTACTAGGCGCTTCAATTCATAAATGTTTATTGAATTTGCCGTGGCAAGAATTGTAACCAGCTAAGCATGCTTTTTTTCCAATTTTGCCCTCTGCAGTCCCAGGTTTTTCACCTGAACCTTGCATTGCTTTCAGCAATGTGGTGTTGCCTCTGGGAATCCCAGGGTCTCCTTTGTGTGGGAATCTCTAGAGTACACATTCCTAGATAGAGGCTGTGTAGTGATTGCTGACATATTCTGGCCAGTGGTTTTCTGTATTTACTCTTGGTTTTGTGAAATAAATCAAGTTAGCTCCTGTAAACACATCACCATGTTTTTTTCACCGGTAATTTGAGAAGGAGGACAAACATCTCCCCAAAGTATTTATTAAGCTGGTGGTTTCTTTGATGCATAAGTGTCTCTTTTGCAGAGGAATTGCTAAATGTTTCCATGTGCCTTGCTAAGAACAGAAATTCACTCAGAGTAGATCAAATTAAAGTTTGTGTTGTTATAAAACAGACAATCTCGCCGGTATTCATGGACAGGAAGCGAAGTATAGCCATGGCAGATGAGAACCTGGACGGGGAAGATCAGAACTAAGATGCTGTGCTCTCCTGCTTTCTTTCTTTGACCTTATGACCTTTCACCTTGTTAGGGTTGCCACATTTAGCAAATAAAAATACAAGATGCACAGTTAAGCTTGAATTTCAGATAACGAATAATATTTTAGTATAAATTTTTGTCCTGTGCAATATTTTGGAACATATTTATACTAAAAAATTATTCATTGCCAATCTGAATATAAATTTAACTGGACATCCTGTATTTTATCTGGCAACTCTAGCCTTCTTTCTATGTATAGTCAAGCCCCAAGTAATGATATTTTGGTCCACAGTGGACTACATGTATAAGGATGGTCCCATAAGATTATAATGAAGTTGAAAAACTCCAAATACCTAGTGACGTTGTAGCTGTCATAACATTGTAGCACAATGCATCACTTTTTCTGTTTAGATATACAAATACCATTGTGTTACAGTTGTCTACAGTATTCAGTACAATAACATGCTGTATGGGTTTATAGCCTAGGAGCAATAGGCTATGCTACATAGCCTAGGTGTGGAGTAGGCTATACCATCTAGGTTTATGTTAAACACCCTCCGATATTTACACAATGGTAAGCTCACCTCATGACCCGTTTCTAAGAACGTATCCCCATCACTAAGCAAGACATCACTCTGCTTGCTTACTTCTTCCATCTGACAGAAAGCCTCTTGTGTATGGATTTCTCTTACTATGATAGGGACTAGGGTGGCCTGCTTCTTGACTAGTTAGCCCTAAAGCTCACCACCAATTGTATAGCATCTTTGTGTACTGTAGCTGAAAATTTAAGTTAGAAATTTAAGATTGGTTGTTGGCTGGCCAATGAATTGACTAGCCTTGGGCCAGGTTTCCACCTTGACAGAACTGTGGTGGTGCAAAGATGAACTCCTTTCCAGGCTCTTTTACCCTTCCCTACAAAGCCCTGTGTGATTAGTTCCCTAGTTGCTTATCTGGCCTCTTATCTGCTCTCTTTTCCCTCCTTCATTCTGCCTCATTTGTCCTGATTTCTTTGCTATTCTTCAGATGTATCAGGCATGTTCCCATCCTAGGGACTTTGCTCTTCTTCAGATGTATCAGGCATGCTCCCATCCTAGAATATTCTTCAGATATCTAACTAGCTAACTCCCTTACCTTCAAGTCTCTATACATGCCACCTTCTCAAGGGCCTGTCCTGACCACCCTAGTTAAAATTGCAACCCAGTCTCCCTTACCCGATTTCTTCTTTTTAAAAAATAACAGCCCTCAAATTCTAATGTCTAATTTGCTAGTTTATTATGTTTGTTGTTTATTGTCTCTCTCGTACGAAGTCAAAGATTTTTGTCGTTTTGTTGATGTATTCTAAGCACCTAGATAGAGCAGCCAGTCCATAAACATGTGTTGAATGAAGGAGCAAAAAGAACCTGAGCCTCTTGCAGCTTTTCAGCCTTGGTGGGAATATCAAATGTCTGCATTCAATAAATCATATTTGTTGGGTAACTGATGAATTATTAGCTTTTAGGAATTAACACACATCCAAATTCAAAAGAGACATTTCTAAATCGCAATTCCCAGTTTATTAATTTCTATGGAGAAATACGTGTTACCATGTTATCTAGACTAGCTGGTCAGGGTATTTGCCTCCCCAGAGACAAGTCTACTTGGGAAATCAAATATATCTGAAGGCTGCTTGTTAATTTAATGGCAAATCAGTTGATTTTAAAGGGCAGTACAGTATAGTCAATCATGAATACTCTTCATCACTTTAAAGATATACCTGATAAACAGATACTTATAATAGCAGGGCAATATTCTGTTGGACTTTGTAAAAATAATGGTCCCATCATCAGCAAACTTACAAACTTAAGGGGTGAATTCTGAAGATAGCTGATTTTTTTAAATCATGTTCACCAGTTCTGAGATATCATGTGGTTTGCATCTTTCTAGTGCATCAAAGATGGGAGATAGTATAAATGTATTGCTTCTTTCCCTTGCAAATTGGCATAGTGCATATATACAAGGTCTTTCCTTTAAAGAATTTTTTGGGCTACCCAGGCTCAGAAGGAGTTTTGTTCGTAGGAGAGATTATAAAGTGTGTTTAGGGTGTAGTACTTGAAAACATGCTAGACTTTCTTTATGCATTCCACTTCCATATGCTGACTTGGAATACTCAGAAAAGAAAATCATCTTGACAACTGTTACTGGTAGAAGTGGTAGAGTAACAGGGCCACATGCACAACAGAGCATGAGCTGCTGCCGAGTAGGGCAATATTTAAACTTTTAAATTTGTTTTCCAATTAAGAGATTACATTGCTTTGCCATTATTCTCAACCTAGGGGTAGATATGTTCTATTTGTTATGCTACTTGATTGTTTATTTTGCAGATCCATTGTTTATTGTGTCAAGTGAGAAAGACCACACACAGGCAAATATCCAAGCCACCCTGATTCGCAGCAGACTGGTATGTCTAATGCATCAACCAAGGCGACCTAATGAACCTGAACCATCTAGTTTGCCTAACTGCATTGATCAGATTGACTAATCATCAAATCTTCACTGGATTTTAGGTTCCACAGAAATTACTTTGCCAAGATTACTGGGGGCCAAAGCATCTTAATACTTGTGGCTCGTTGCGAGGATTAAGACACTAATAATGAATAGAGAACCCATAAGCTAATTTATTTCAATGGGATAAATATAATAATATATGCCCATGTTAAAAGAATTTAAGTAGTACAAAAGCATACACAGTACGAAATAAATTCTAGCCCTACCCTCACCCCCTCCACATAAACAGCCATTGTCATCAGTTTCTTGGGCATCCATTTAAAGATATTCTATGTATATAGCAATAACCCCTCTTCTTATATTATATACATTGTTTTGTATCTTTTTTTAAAAAATTTACAATGTAATTAAAATACTTTAGAAAAGCTGATGGTATAATTTTGTCCTTTGCCTCCCTTCCCTAACGTTAGAGAAAAGTTCCCAGGTTTAAAACCATGTTCAGTAACCTGATCCATTATCCAAGATATTCTCTATATTGGAGCAAGTCAGATCCTGTCCCACCATTTATCAGTCGGGAATGGAAGGGACATGAGGAGAAACACAGACAAGCCCTCCGGCAGCTTGCCATGTAAGTGTCGGGTGGCTCCAGGGCCTAAAATAAATGCATTAAAAACATTTTTTAAAATTCATTTACCATGTGTGGTTTTAAAATGTTCAGTCGTGGTGTTATACCTAGACCAAATTTTCTTTTTAAACCTCTTTTGACCAAACAAGCCTGATTATATGTATTATATATATATTTTCCATCATATCTATATCTATATCTAGATATATATATATATCTAGATATAGATATAGATATATATATAATGACAACTGTCCACCAAAGGTAGGGATGACTGAGTTTGTTGTTGCTTGGATCCAACTTAGCAACTGAAAGTGCTCTTTTCTGCTAATATCTAAAATATTTTTTGGAACTTGCGGCCAAAGCACCTTCAAGGATAAGTTGAATTATTTATTATTTTAATTACTTACAAGTTCGCATTTAGTAAATTTAAAAGTATAAAGTCTTTTAGCCTGGACATAGAAAAATTGTCTTTTGGCCAGGCATGGTGGCTCATGCCTGTAATCCCAGCACTTTGGGAGGCCAAGGCGGGTGGATCATGAGGTCAGGAGATCGAGACCATCCTGGCTAACACAGTGAAACCCCGTCTCTACCAAAAATACAAAAAATTAGCCGGGTGTGGTGGCGGGCACCTGTAGTCCCAGCAACTTGGGAGGCTGAGGCAGGAGAATGGCGTGAACCCAGGAGGTGGAACTTGTAGAGAGCCGAGATTGCGCCACTGCACTCCAGCCTGGGTGACAGAGCGAGACTCTGTCTGAAAAAAATAAATTAAAAAAAAATTGTCTTTTAGTATTTTGTTATTCTTGTGTGCTTTTAATTAAAATTGGGCATTTTTGTATGTAGGATTTCATAAATCTACTTTTTTTTTTTTTTTTTTTTGTATGTAGGATTTCATAAATCTACCCTCTGACTAGGTCCTGGGTCTCCTGGCTCAGGGCAGGGGAAGAATCATATATACTCTAAGTTGTATGACAGTCAAATGCAGGTTATGGAAGACTTTACTCTCAGTATGAGATACTTTGTGTAACTCCTACTCTATACACATAGAAATATTAAATAGAAATTATATGTGGAAATATTTTAGACTTAAATGATGTTTTCTTGCTTCATTTTAGAACTGACACTTCTTTTCAGATGCCTAGAGAAGTTTATGAAGATCCTGAAGTTACTGGAAAGAATCGCTATAAATACTTTGAAAGGTAGAATGTAATTACTAATGAATATTTGAGCTCTAATATTATTAGAGAACCTCTTTATGATACTAATAACAGTTATCATTTTTCAGTGCATACAATGTGTCAGACTCTATTTTAAGTGCTTTACATGCATATGATCTCATCTTTTCAACAGAAATATAGGATAAGATATATATGATCCCTGTTTTACCAGTAATGAAGCTGAGACTGAGAGATGATAAATAGATTGCTTCAGGTCATATAAGCTAGCCAGGGGTAGATCTGGGGTTCAAACTAAGCCTGCCTGACTTTAGAGATACTGATTGCAACTAAGAATATGTATTTGAAAACATTTGAAATGAAGTCATCAAATGAGTGAGACACAGTGGAGATACCATGAAGTCATGGTGAAGGGGAAACTTGTGTTCAAAGGGATAATGTTTGTTCTCTTTGTGTGAATCTTGCCCAAACCAACATGGCCAAAAGGTTAGTTTTATTTCATTTGTGATTTATGCTCATGTAATAACCATATACTCAAATCAAATTAAAATTAGATGGGGATTTCCTTATACATCTTACTGGAGTTAGAAAAAATAGTCTTGATACTACATCTGCATAAGCTTCCTTGAGAAAGTAAATTTCTAATCCACATTATTATTTATGAACAACTTCCTTATGGAAATTTTGTGATGCTAACTTTTTCAGAGAAGTGTTAAATTTTTAGCTGTTAACTATACAATTCTATACAGTTAACTGTACAATTCTTAACTTTTAGGGGGAGGCTTTAGATTAAATCGTTGTGAATTTCAGAATGTCTCAGGAACTTGAGAAGTTGCTGGGAACTAATGGCCAGCTGAAGCCCAAGTACAGGGCTTAAAGGGTGGCTTCTTCAATTGTGACTTGTTTACTATCTGAAGAGAAAATACTGGAGTGTTTATTAAGAATGCACATTCATTGGCTCTACCCTGTATGTACTGAATATCATGGGCCAGACCTGGGAATCTGCATTTTAGACAAGAACCTCCCCACACCTCAGTGATTTTGTATATCCAGAAGTAGCACTGATATATGGGATATTTAAGCTCACTGATTTTTAAGGGACAAATATTAGAGCTGGAAGAGAGCTTAGAGTACATTCATTGCAAAAGTCCCACACATTTATGTTTTCCTTTTCCTCCCAGGCCTTTTCTTCCATTTTTTCAGCAGATGCCATTCAATGTTGTTTATGCCATATCCAAGTAAGTAACCATTATTTAAAAACTCTTTTTCAGTTTATTTATTGTTTGCTTCCATATTTTCTCTTAGAAGATAGTTATCTAAATCACTATTTTTGAAATTGTGGATCACAAAACATTGGAAGGGTATGAAATCTTCTAGTGGGTCATGAGCAGTGTTTTAAAACATGAAACAGAATAGAAAATAACCAAAGCATCAGGTATATGGAGGGTAAGCTGGTTTTTGTTTATAACTTTTGTTTCAGAAAAATATATGCATATGTTTATATGTATATGATGGATTATGATATAAAATGTATTTCTTACTGTTAGTTGCCCGTTTGTGCTGCTATAACAAATTAACAGACTTAGTGATATAAATAAAATACATTTGTTTCTTGAATTCTGAAGGCTGGACAGTCCAAGAGCAAGGGGCTGGCAGTCAGTGTCGGTGAGGGCCTTCTTGCTGTGTCTTCACATGGCAGGAGCAGCAAATGCTGTGTCCTCACGTGGTGGAAGGGCAAAAAGGACCTATGCTAGTTCTCTCCAGTCTTTTTATAAGACACTAATCCATTGATGAGGATGGAGTCCTCATGACTTAATCACTTTCCCCAAAGGCCTCACCTCTTAATACCACCACAGTGGGGACTAAGTTTGAACATGAATTTTGGAGAAGACACAGCCACATATTCAAATTGTAGCAGTTGTGGTTTAAAAAAGTTGAAAAGTGCTTTAAATATCTTCTTTTGCTTCTCTGAAACACTTATTTGATGACAGTTCTTCAACATTTCATCAAATAAACAAATCAGTCACGTAATATTTTTTGAATGCTAGAATTTTATAACTTAATAACCATCTAATCTACACAGACAATGTGGTATACAAAGATAAATAAAACATGGTTTTTGCCCCACAACAGAGTGAACCAAGGTAAGAGGGAGGTAAGGGACAAGGGCTGAATCTGAGACAAATGTGTATTTCTCATCTCTAGTTTCAGGACAAGGCAGCAGACTGGGTAGAGTATTCCTTTTAAAAATCTAATTTTTGCTACACTCTTTCCTCCATTAATAAAATTTGATATTTCTATAAGAGAAAAAAGTCCAAGGTATTCATGAAATTATTAGGAATAGAAACCTTTTTTAAGGTCTCATATTTCTGAATACAAATTTATTCAGGGCTGGGTTTTCAAGGGTGCATTTAAAGAATATAGTTATTCCTAATAATATATATCATCATATAAATAGGACACATGTTATTAAATGTGTGTAATCCTCAAGATAAATGCTAGTTATGATTTTACTTCACCCTTGACTTTTTTTTAAGACTGTGTGGATGCCTTTGGCTCTTTATAGAGATGGAGTACAGATTCCCTGCTCTCCCCAGACAGCAACTTCCTGGGGTACCAGTTTATCCAGAGATAGCTGTAGACTTATATTCTATGAAGTGTTTTGTATGAGCAAAAGGGGAGCTATGAGCTATGTAGATCCCTAAAGATCCTTCTGGTAATTCTTTAAAATCAGGCTCACTGGATTACCTGCTTTGGAGGTCATAAGTGCGTCAGTCTAAAAGTTGTTAAACTAATTCGAGGGAGTTCAGAGGCCTACAGTGATGAACACCATGACCTCTCCGACTCCTTCCTAAATAACCCTGACACAAGGGATAAAGATTCCATCCAACAGTTAAACTATGACATTTGACATTGTAGCTACTCTATCTCTCTTAGAACTTTTTAAAGAATGAATCAGTGTTCCTGAGTGAGGTCAACTCTGGAATTCCAGTATGTTTGAGTTTCTGAGCAGTGAGTATAATGCCACCTTGTGTTATCAGGGATGGAATTGTCTTGGGACCAGCTGGCCTTCTCCAGCCACACCTTTCTCATGGCTAGCTGTTGGAGTCTTTCCTCTGGATTCTACATAAGCACCTTTTCAAAGATAATAAAAAGTTAATACTTCTAAAACATTCAGTGAAGCTCATAGTAGAACAGGATTTGCTAGGTTTGTGAAGCCCGTCTCTGTACAGCTCTGTTGGGGCTGGGAGAGAAAATCTAGATGACTGTAGGTATGGCAGACAGCGCATGCTCCTGGTTCCTGGGCAGTGGTGGAGGAGGAAGGGCCTGGATAGAACACACAGAGCAGCCCTGGCTGTCATATGAGTACTAAAGCCAGAGCAGGTGAGCCTGAGGACAGGGGCCAGGACACAGCAGGGGTCAGGCCAGCATGGAGCAGATGTGGGACCTTTCTGGGTTTGGGTCCTGTTTGAGGTTGGGGAGGAGGTGGGAAAGGGATCATTGCTCTTTGTTACTCATATTTTACTCTCCCCTAAAGCCAACTGAAATGGGGAAAAAATAGGTTGGAGAAATTAAGAAGTTAGTTAAGAAACCATGTATTAAGTTACTGGAAGGGTTCAAAGTAGCTTTCCTCTTTTACGTTCTATTCCCAGACCCACCTGGAAAGATAGGGAGGCAGAAACCTTCATCAGAAGAGCTCATTAGGCCTTACCGTAAACTAAGCACATTTGATCAGATGGTCCAAATGTGTAATTATTCAATTTGAGAAAAAAATAATTTATTCTTGGCGGGGCGCGGCGGCTCATGCCTCTAATCCCAGCACTTTGGGAGGCTGAGGTGGGTGGATCATGAGGTCAGGAGATCGAGACCATCCTGGCTAACACAGTGAAATCCCGTCTCTACTAAAAATACAAAAAACTAGCCAAGAGTGGTGGCGGGAGCCTATAGTCCCAGCTACTCAGGAGGCTGAGGCAGGAGAATGGCATGAACCCAGGAGGGGGAGCTTGCAGTGAGCCGAGATCACTCCACTGCACTCCAGCCTGGGGGACAGAGCTAGACTCCATCTCAAAAAACAAACAAACAAAAAAACAAAAACAAAAAAAATTATTTTATTCTGTTGATTCAAGATAATGGTGCACTAATATAATAAAACTTCATGTAACTTTGGATGACATAAAGCTGATTTGAAGTTATTTCCTCAACTAGAATTTTATAGTAGAATAAGGTTACTACTGAAAAACATAAGAAGCCATATATTATAGTACATGTTAGCAATTATAGCAACTTACGGGAAGTGTATCTTCAATAGCAGTTACACGGTTCAGCTTTTAAAAACTAAGCCCACGGTGCAGTGGCTCACACTTGTAATCCTAGCAACTTTTAGAAGGCCGAGGCAGAGAGGTCACTTAGGTCAGGGTTCTGAGACCAGAGCCGCGAACATGGGTGAGTCTGACTCTACTGAAAAGAAATACAAAATTAGCTGGGGTGATAGGTGATGGGCACCTGTAATCCAGTGCTACTTTGGGAGGGCGGCTAAGGAGAACATCACTTGACCTTGGAGGGGATGTTGCAGTGAGCTGAGATCGCACCCACTGCACTCTAGCCTGGGTGACAGAGCGAGACTCCATCTCAAAAAAAACGAAAGCAACAAAACAAAAAAACTATCTAAGTATTGCTCCAGCACAGGTTGAACTTTCAAACAGGTGTTTCTTTTCTAACTGGCTTGAAATGCTTTTTTTTTTTTTTTTTTTTTGAGGTGGAGTCTGCTCTGTCGCCCAGGCTGGAGTGCATGGGTGTGATCTCAGCTCACTGCAACCTCCACCTCCAAGTTCAAGTGATTCTCCTGCCTCAGCCTCCCAAGTAGCTGGAATTACAGGGCACGTGCCACCACACTCTTTAGTAGAGACGAGGTTTCACCATGTTGGCCAGGTTTGTCTCGAACTCCTGACCTCGTGATTCACCTGCCTTTGCCTCCCAAAGTGCTGGGATTATAGGCATAAGCCACTGTGCCCTGCCCCCCACCTTTTTTTTTTTTTAAAGATCTTTGGTGTATGTATTTGCTGTGCTCTTATGTAAGCTCTTACCATTGCCTCTGTTTTTCAAAATGGAAATATCTCACTTTTGCCTTCATCTTTAGTTATTTATATAATTTAACCAATGCTTTTACCAACTTGAAAAAAAAATGTCTTTTAAGTCAAAGTGGCTATATTGGTTTTTTTCTTATTCTAGAGGCAGTGCATGTACATGTTAAAAAAGAAGTTTCAGAAAAGTATAAAGATGAAAAAAATTATCTGTATAATTCTATCTGGAAATAATTACTATTATTGTATATACATCTAGGTATTTTTCTATGCATAAAAACTCAGTTTTAAAATGTAAAAATGGAATCATACTATACATACCCACTTAATAGTGTCATTTTTTTCTACTTTACAATGAATCATGGACATTTTTGAATGCTCACAGGTATAGATTACATTATTATTTTGAATAGCTGCATAAATTCCATTATGGCTGCATCATTTTTCTGAAGAATTCTTGTATTGATGTGATCATTTAAGTTTCTAATTTTTCACTCTTATAAATGAGACTTTATGAACATGTTTTCATATATATCTTTGTACACCTGTCCAGTTATTTCCTAGAATAAATTCCTAGGAGTAGAAATGCCAGATCAAAGGGTATTTTAACTTGTCAGTTAGGTGTACCTATTTGTATTTCCATCAACAGTTTATGAGAAGGACTATTTCTTCACAACATGATCGATGCTAGGTACTTTCAATCTTTTAGATTTTTGCTTATGTGATAAAATAGCATAAAATAGTATCTTGCCGTTTTAATTTACTTTTCTTTGATTACTAGTTATCTTCATTATCTTCTCATGTGTTTGTTAGAAGTTTTACTTTTTGTTTTGTGAATTCTCCTTTACTCATTTTTCCATGGAATATTTAACTGCCTAATTGATTTACAAGGGCTTTTTATGTAGAAAGGCTATTTAAACTTTTTATCATATATGTTCCAAAACCTTTTTCTAAGTTTGCCATCCACCTTTTAAATTTGTTTGTGATATTTTGAGGCCTAGAAGTTGAAACTTACCCTCAATTCTATTGATCATCTCCTTTTATAGCTTCTGGCTTTTAAGCCAGGCTTAAAAAGACCTTCACTCAAAGATGATATAAATATTGACTTATGTTTCCTGTTAGTACTTTTACAGTCTCATTTTTACATTAATTTTTTAAAGATCTAGAATTAATTTTTCTGCAAGAGACAAGGTAACTTTCCCACATGTTAATAACAAAGTGATCCCAGCATTAATTATTGAATCATTTATCCAGATAGAGCCTGTCTGCCTGCCTGCCTGCCTGCCTTCATTCCTCCCTTCCTTCCTTTTTCTTTTTCTCTTTCTTTCTTTCAGCAGAAAGCATCTCTTCTCTTTTCTCTGCTCCCATATCTCTGGAGAGAAACAGAGAGTGGGTATCGGACTGAAACAGAGGAGAAAGAAACCAGAGAATGCAATAATTCTGAACAGGTCCGAAAGTGCTGTACGGCATTCTAGAATAGCTTTGTTCTACAGCCTTGCCCAGTGACACACATATAAATAGGCACTTTTGTGAGTCAACTATGGTACTTAGACCCACTCGTTTCTTGGCAGAGATGAGAATAACAAGGCAATTCTCTCAAGATTTGGGGGCATAATCCTGGTTATAATGGATTCATGACTTTGTACCTGTCAACATTTAAAGGAGGAATGGACTTGATGAAGCTTCGAAGATTTGTTTCTACTTGATTATATAATATTTTAAGTGATCATAAGAGGTTTCAATTTTTAAACCGATTTTTCCCTTTTAGGGCAGAACCATACACTTTTCCTCCTACTTCTACTAAGCACCTATCCATCCCTTCAAAGTCGACTGTGGGCACTCAGACTGATTATCGGGATGCTGATGTTCAAACAGATCCATACTCTCCAGAATATGTAGTGTGTCAGGACTCTATCCCCGAGCTCTTGACCCTGGCTACGCTTACTTGGGGTGAGTTGGTAAATGTGACTATTGGCAGATGACAGTGCTGATAACCACGCATGCTGTTCAAATGGCCCATGTACAGGCAATTGTGGTTTACAGTGTTGCTGTATAAAGTGTCTTACTCAGTGCAGCAACTTCATAGACTCATAATTTTTCTGATACTTCTGGTCAAATAAAGATACTATGTTTTTGTTGTAGGTATCTATCTGTGAAGCTGAATTTCAGCTTAATATTGTAGTTGCTTTGCTAACTAGTGACCTATGTCCTCTCTTTTCTCTCTCCTAGTGAATCACTTCCTTTTTATTGAGCAATCATACTTCTTTACACATAAGCTTTTTTTAAGTGTAAAATACTGAATGCACATTCCTATGTATGTAATATTATCTTAATTTGCCAAAATATCTTAATTTACCAAAGATCCCTTATATACTTTATTAGATGATTTGGATGACCTGATATTATCTCTGAAATGCTAAATATCTTTCAGGCTCAGAAATTAACTCTCAGAATGCAATAAAATCTGGCCTAGGCCTGTATTATGTGAACCTATATAATTAATAAGTGAGAGTACTTTTAGAAATTATTAGAAATTAGCTTATCTAACTCACTTAATTGTATTAATAGCTGGGAAACTGAGAACCAGAGAGGTTAACTAATTCCTCCAAGGACACAGAGACAGTCGGTACACAGTAATGATTTTTAAATGAGATTGCTTTTCCCCACATTGTAACAGATAGCTGTGATCAAGTCTGCATCCCAGGCAAAGAAAATGTTCATGTCTGGGCTCTAGTTTTGATTTATTTCCTAGCCCACTTTATGAATCCAGATTAAGCATTCTCAACACCCATTTTTTTTTTTTTTTTTGAGATGGAGTGTCACTCTGTTGCCCAGGCTGGAGTGCAGTGGTGTGATCTTGGCTCACTGCAACCTCCGCCTCCTGGGTTCAAGTGATTCTCCTGCCTCAGCCTCCCAAGTAGCCGGGACTACAGGTGCGTGCCACCGTGCCTGGCTGATTTTTTTATTGTATTTTTAGTAGAGGTGGGATTTCACTGTGTTAGCCAGGATGGTCTCGATCACCTGACCTTGTGATCTGCCCGCCTCGGCCTCCCAAAGTGCTGGGATTACAGGCGTGAGCCACCGTGCCTGACCCAAAACCTGTACTTTAAAGCAGAGGCTCTACTTTCAGGCCTAGGTGGCAAATTAAAAATATGCTGTAACCTTCCCTTTCTGCTCTGAATGCATAAAAAGTATAGGAAAAAATTAATAAACATATAGACACACTTAAAAGCAAGAAAGAAAATATTCGTAATGTAGAAATGGAGACTTTTTCCTAAATAAAGAAGTAGCTGGGGACCTTTGGTGGTAAGTGGGAGCTGTGCATGGCAGGGAACCAGGTCCAAGTCACCTGCCTGAACTGGAGGGGCCAGCGTCCTTCTCCTGCACACAGGTGCAGCTGAAGCCTGGTGCCTATGAAGATAATAGACAGAACAGAGTCAGGCATTCCTGCCTGTGGCCTTGGACTTTACCTCTTAGTGTGATAAGGTCTTGGCGTTAAACTGCAGGAGGACAAGAGCCAGGCAGAGGCTCAGAAATGCTTCACTAGGCAAAAAAAAAAATCTGGTGCACTGTCATAGCAGAACTGAAGTTAAAGTGTCAATAAAAGCCTCTATGAGCCAGGCCTACTCCTACCATGTGTGGGACCCCGGACTCTAAGGGAGGCCCACCTACCATGCGTATAGATATTTTAAAAGTATAAATCAAGCTAAGAACTGTTATGTAAAATATGTTGGTTTTTTTTACAAACATCTTTATAAGAAGTTAAAAGGACAAGTTTAAATTGGAATTCTTAGGCTCCTGGGATTCTATACTGTAATGTGGCAGCGAGGCGAGAGCCTACTGTAGCCTGCCCCTTTCTCTCCCAACCCTGGCTCTGCTCTACATCTGAGGGGCCTGTCATGCGTGCCCGTGATTACCTCGCTCTTCTTCCCAATGTTCACACATCCCTACAAACAGCTGCCGTTTGGCCCCACCTTGGGCTTAAGGGTGAACAAACAGCAGCATATAGTATGCCCTCAGGAATCTGAATCCTGTAAAGAGGCCCATGGAGACTTTGGAAGCAGGCTCGGGCCATTTGTAGGGTTTCCAGGACCTCTACACGTGGAACTAGCTCCAGGTGGGCACAGGGCCTTGGACTCCTCATCTTGTGGTGATGAACAGGGCTCTGAAGAATGAGGTTAGGTAGTAGCCACTCACAGGTCAAGGCTGCTTACTGACCAGGGTGCTTATGAGAGAAGCCAGCAGCTGCTCTCCACCCAAAAACCCCAAAGCACACAAGGAACAGTGACACCAGGAGTGGCCCACAACAAATAAAGGAAATGGGAGAAGAAATTTCTGAGTGAACAGAAAATGGAGCAATCTGAAAAGGACTTGGGAAGTGCCTTCTATATTCTCAAAAGGATAAGGAGGAAATAGCAACACTAAAAACAAGAATGGGAGTCATGAAAAAGAACCAGTTGGAATCAAGGGGGAGGAAAACTATAATGTTTGAAATAAAATGAACTCAATACTGGAACAGACAGAACTGAAGAGCAAATTAGTGAAATGACAGATTGAATGGACACATATTCCAGAATGCAGCATATAGTGGTAGAACAAGATAAAAGAAAAGGAAGAGCTGTGGGTGCTAGGACATCAGTACAGGGAAAATGGTGGAGAAGCAATGCAAGAATCGGTGACTGAGAACTCCCCAGAACTGAAGAAAGACATTAGCCTTCACCCTGAAAAATTCCACTGAGTACCAAGCAGAACGATTCTTTCAAAACTCACGCCTCCTAATAAAAGAAAAAGTGAAAAAACTATTAGAAAGATAACTCAGATTACCTACAAAGGAAAAAAAAAAAGGATTGATATTTTGTAGTATTGCCTTTAAGGTGATGTGGGAAAATGATTGCAAACCTAGAATTATTTTACCAGCCAAACTATTATTGACGAGTGAAGGTGAAATAAAGACATTTTCATACATAAGAAGAAATCTATCTCATAGGATATTGTAAGGATTAAGTAAATTTATTTATGTAACGTGTTCATAGCTACACTCCAGCAATTTCACTCCTAACTATACACCAAAAAAAAAAAAAAAAAAAAAAAGCACATTATTCTACTTACGGAAATACATAGGTGTGTTCACCAGAAGACATGCACAAGAAAACTCACAGCAGCATTATTCATAATAACTCCAAACTGAAAACAACCCAAATGTCCTTCAACCATAGAATGGATGAATAAAATATAGTGTATTCACATAATGGAATGCTATATAATAATGAGAATGAAGTACAACTGCATGTGGTTACAAGGGAGATTGTAGATGTGTATATAATCGCATATATAATGCTGAACAAAATAAGATACAGAAGAGTGCCTACACTGTGATTTCATTTACATAAAACTTAAAACCAATCAAAACTAAATGAACGCATTAGGAATGAGGATGGTAGGCTATCCTTGGGGCAGGTAGAGACTGGGAAGGGAGTATCATGGGCATTCCAGTGTTCTGGTAATATTCTATTCCTTGATCTGGGTGCCGATTAGATGGGATATCTGTTTTTGTTTATGTATGCTGTACATTTGTGAAAAGTTTACATAAAGATAAGGGAAAAATAATGACAGTGAAAAAGGATGACACTGTAAGCACTGCGGGGATAAAATTGAATGCTTATGATGTGCCAAAAACTGATCCAAGTGCTTTACATTTTAAACCTATTCAATCTTCACACGTTAAATGAATAATAAAGTTGAAATAAATAGTTGATAATACAGATATTTTAAAAGGCAAAAGAAATGGTCATTAGGGCCATAAGTAATTTTCTGATAAAGAGTGATAATACAGCCAAACCTCTTGTAGGAAGCATCAAGAAAGAAGACAGAAGATGCAAGCAGAGTGTTGGGACTGAAAGTGGGACAGAGTAACTACAGAATGAACAATTTAAGAAATACGAGAGTGCTATGAATATCTTTTGCCCTATATTTAAAAACTTAGAAAGGCCGGGCGCGGTGGCTCACACCTGTAGTCCCAGCACTTTGGGAAGCTGAGGCAGGCGGATAACTTGAGGTCAGGAGTTCGAGACCAGCCTGGCCAACATGGTGAAACCCTGTCTCTACTGAAAATACAAACATTAGCCACACATGGTGGTGGGCACCTGTAATCCCAGCTACTCAGGAGGCTGAGGTTGCAGTGAATGAGCTGAGATTGCACCACTGTTCTCCGGCCTGGGTGACAGAGCGAGACTCCATCTCAAATAAATAAAAAAAAACTTAGATAAATTATACAATTTTTAAAGAAAATATAAATTGCTCACTTGGTTTTAAGAAGAAATCATAAACCTGAGTAGAAGAGTAACTATAGAAATGGACTTGGTAAATAGAAAAAAAAAATCCTTTTAAGAGCACCAGGCCTAAACAGTTTTACAAGTAAGTTTACCACTCCTTTAAGGACCAAATAAACTGTTTTATGCAACTTCTTCCAGGAAACACAGAATAGAAGTTAATTTATTCATTTTATGAGACCAGTATAGCCTTGATTTGAAAACTGAGTAAGGACAGTACGGTTGTTACTTAGTATTATAGGAGATTGATGCTAGGACCCTGCAACCCTACCAAAATTTTTGGGTGCGCAAGTCTCTTATGTAAAATGGCATAGTATTTGCATATAACCTACACACATCCTCCCATATATTTAATCTCTAGATTACTTATAATTCCTAATGCAATGTAAATTTTACATAAATAGTTATTATACTGTATTGTTTAGGGAATAATGACAAGAAAAAAGTTTGTACATGTTCAGAACACAGTTTTGTTTTTTTTAAATATTTCCAACCTGCACTTGGTCAAATCCACAGATGTAGAACCCCTGGATATGAAGGGCCAACTATACTAGTAAGGAAACTTACAAGCCAATCTCACATATGAAGAAATATACAAAAAATTCTAAATAAGACACTAGC